GTGTAGACCACAAGATGTACCTCAGGACAGCCACTCTGAAAGAATCCCTAAAGCTCAGTTCTGGTGAGGGAAGTGTCACACGTTGTGCGTTGCCCAGATGTGAGCCACCGTTAAAACTGGAGTGAAAAGTTGAGGCTGATGTGCACTTGAAGCTGAGGAGCACTTCCTTGAAGGGACATCGGGCAGGGGGCTGTTGCTGTCTTCTATCTGGTCAGGAAGCAAAGATTCACCTTCATGTCAAATTGAATATAGCATAGAATAATAGAATCGCGGAGTCGGAAGGGTCCTACAGGCCATCTAGTCCAACCCCCTGCTCAATGCTGGATCAGCCTAGAGCATCCCTGACAAGGGTTTGTCCAGCCGCTGCTTAAAGACTGCCAGTGAGGGGGAGCTCACCACCTCCATGGGCAGCTGATTCCACCATTGCACAACTCTGACTGTCAAAAAGCTTTTCCTAGTATCCAGCCGGTACCTTCCCGCTTTTAATTTAAACCCATTATTGTGAGTCCTGTCCTCTGCTGCCAACAGGAACAGCTCCCTGCCCCTCCTCTAAGGGACAGCCCTTCAACTACTTAAAGAGAGCCATCATGTCCCCTCCCTCAACCTCCTCTTCGCCAGACTAAACATTCCCAAGTCCCTCAGCCTTTCCTCACAGGGCTTGGTCTCCAGGCCCCTGATCACCCTCATCACTCTCCTGTCCACCTGCTCCATTCTGTCCACATCCTTTTTGAAGTGAGGCCTCCAGAACTGCACACAAGACTCCAGGTGTGGCCCGACAAGAGGAGGGTTGCCATGGGATGGGGGAGGTTGGCTGCCTGCTGTCAGCAGACCACAGTGATAGCCCATCAAGATACGAGCTCAAGGCTCGGGGCTGGCCCAGTCACTGTGGCATAAGGACAAAGAAGAGGTAGGGTCAAGGGGGCTGGGGCTGAAATAAGTAAGGCAGTTCTGAGTTTCTCGCTGGGGGTTGCAAGCAGATCGTTCAGGACTGCACCTCAGCCAACTGATGGAGGTTATGCAGAGCTCCCAGCCATTGATTTGTCTCCTGGCACATAGTTCTAGTTGCTGCTCAGATCTTCAGAAATCTTTTATGGAGTCCAGAGGTTCTTATGATAAGTATGTTTGCTCACTGGACTTGATTTGTGTAGGCTGGTTTTTAATGTGTATACTGCATGGTATGTCTGAACATGGGAAAATTTGCAGATTTGTACCAGTGAGCTGCGGTGGCTCAAGTGGTTAAGACGCTGAACTGCAGGCTGTGGAAGGTCGGTAGTTCAGCAGTTCGAGACCCGAGTGTGCCGCGTGACGGAGTGAGCTCCCATCTCTAGTTCCAGCTCCTGCCAACTTAGCAGTTCGAAAGCAAGAAATTGCAAGTAGATAAATAGGTACCACTTCGGTGGGAAGGGAACAGCGTTCCGTGCGCCTTGGTGTTTAGTCATGCCGGCCACATGACTACAGAAACGTCTTCGGACAGCACTGGCTCTTCGGCTTTGAAACAGAAATGAGCACCGCAACCCTAGAGTTGGATTCGACTGGCTTTCAAGCAAGGGAACCTTTACCTTTTTACATAGTTCTAGTAGCTGCTCAGATCTTCAGAAATCTTTTATGGAGTCTGGAGGTTCTTATGATAAGTATGTTTGCTCACCGGACTTGATTTGTGTAGGCTGGTTTTTAATGTGTATACTGCATGGTTTGTCTGAACATGGGAAAATTTGCAGATTTGTACCAGTGAGCTAGATCAGCTGATGGGTTTAGGGCAAAGTTTTGCTGAGTGACAGCTTATCCCAGCAGGTGCTTCCTACCTCTTCCTCCTCCTCTTTCTTTTCTTGTAAATCTTGAGAATGCAAGAAGCTCTCCTGTTCTGGCCCCCACCGATCCCCTTCCTGCCATCATTCCTTCCTTTGATCTTCTTCTGGCTGCACTCTTTGTGTTGTGACTGGGGGCTGTAAATGCTAAGAGCTAGCTGAAGAAGGGAAAGGCACCTGTCTCCATGAATGTTGATACACATCTATACTACAAGCACAAACCTGCTTTAAACCGCCTCCCCCCCCCCAACCCTGAGAATTGTAATTTAGGGGAGGATATTGAAACTGTTAGAGAATTCTCATCCTATCTTAGGGTTCCCCGAGGCTTTGCAGTATAGATACAACCTGTGTTATACAAGTACATATGTAGGGAAGGGAGAACGAAAAGAGCTGAGTAATGTCAGCTAATATACTGTAAAGCAATAGTTTGAGCATTGGACTACAACTAGGGTGGCCCAGGTTCAAATCCTCACTAGGGGTGTGCAGGTTTTTTTTAAAAATCTGGTATTTTTTAATTCGGGTCTATTGGACCCCCCGAAATTTCAGTATTTCTGGAAAATCCCGAATCCCAATACGGTATTGGGATCTGGGATTGGGATCTGGGATTTTTAAGAAATCCTGAATTTTTTCGGGTCCAATAGACCTGAGAAGAAAAATACTGTTTCGGGCTAGCTTGGCTTCTCCTGTAGCCTGGTTTGAACTGCGCCGGAGGAGAAACTAGCCCCTGGATCTACTTCTTCTGTATAAAGGTAAAGGTTCCCTTGCTCGAAAGCCAGTCGAGTCCGACTCTAGGGTTGCGGTGCTCATCTCCGTTTCAAAGCCGAAGAGCCAGCACTGTCTGAAGACGTTTCTGTGGTCATGTGGCCGGCATGACTAAACACCCAGGCGCACGGAACGCTGTTACCTTCCCACCGAAGTGGTCCCTATTTATCTCCTTGCAATTTCTTGCTTTCGAATTGCTAGGTTGGCAGGAGCTGGAACTAGAGACGGGAGCTCACTCCGTCATGTGGCAACTCGGGTCTCGAACTGCTGAAGTACCAACCTTCCACAGCCTGCAGTCTAGCGTCTTAACCACTTGAGCCACCGCAGCTCCTTATTCTTCTTCTTATTCTCATTCTCCTCCTGTAGCACAGTTTAAATTGGGGCTGCGGGAGAAGCCATCCCAGCCAGGATCTGCGCGCCACACAGGGCGATCTCCCCGCAGCACAGGAGATTCTGCGTCTGGCTTCTCCTGCTGTCCGGTTAAGCCATCCCAGCCAGGAGAAGCCATCCCAGCCGGGATCTGTGTACTATACAGTTAAAAGAAAATCAGCAGTCTGAAAACACTGTTGGCCAGCCTGCAACACCGAGAGCTGAAAGCAGCCAGTACCAAACAACGAGGGTTTGGGGCACCCCTGGGTCAGGAGCCAAAGGTCCAAGTGCTTGGCTGTGCCCCAGAACAGGCCAAGACCATTGCCCACGTCTCTTGAACCACGTGGCTCCTTAGCCCGTGGCTCAGCAGACTCGTGGCATAAGAATACTAAGCACTGCGAGGGACTGCGCCTGTAATATGGGTGCATGCGAAGGTGGAGCCTCTTCCTGCTTTTGACTTGTAAGCATAAGCTTATGGAGAGTCTGCACAGTCGACCTCCAGTAGTTTAAAGCATTGAGTGTACTCCTTTTTGTTTTTTAACCAGGAGGCCATAGTGAAGCGCTTTGGGGTTTCCGGGGCCCAGTTGCGGGTCTATCTGCATTACCAGCCATCTTATTATCACCTCCACGTGCATTTCACTGCCCTGAGCTATGATGCACCTGGATCCTCCGTGGAACGAGCCCACCTCCTTTCGGATGTGATCGATAACCTGGAACTCGACTCCGGCTACTATCGGAAGCGCACCCTGACCTTTGCCCTCCGAGCTGATGAACCCCTGCTGAAGAAATTCCAGGAAGCTGGTCGAGTCTGAACGCTTTGCTGAGGACTGCTGGATGAAGTATATCAACATTTCCTAGGGATACTTTTATATATTGTCTTTTAAGATATTTTCTTTATGGTTTTGTAAGGCTCCAGTTGCATTTCCCGTCTCTTATGGTTGTATCATTTTGCTATAAATAAATGGCTATGTCCAGCTGCATTGTTCATTTGGGCTTCTCCCCTCCTCCTTCCCCCCCCCCATTTATTATTTAGTTCATTTGTACCCCACCTTTGTCCCCAGTGGGGACCCAAAACCACGTACACCATTTGGTCTAGTCAGGGCTTTTTTGTTAGAAAAAGCCCGGCAGGAATTCATTAGCATAACAGGCCACACCCCTGACAGTGCAGCTTATTAGCATATTAGGCCATGCCCCCATGTTACCAGAGGTGTGGTCATCCAGCCACACCCATCTTTTGCTTCTTATTCTGTTTACCTTGTTTGTTGTCATACAGGGCTCTTTTTGTAGCAGGAACTCCTTTGCATGTTAGGCCACACACCCCTAATGTAGCCAATCCTAATGAGTTTCAGCTCTTGGGTGTGGCCTATTATGCTAGTGAGTCCCTGCTGGGCGTGGCCAACTCGGGAGCCAGCCGGAACTCCGTTCCTGTGCGTTCCTGCCCAAAAATAGCCCTGGGTCTAGTGCAGGGGTGGCCAAACTTGCTTAACATAACAGCAAACATAGAATAAACATCAAATGTTTGAGAGCCACAAGACATGAACAAATATCACACACACGTTTTTATTGGAAAATATGCAAATTTGCTTTTTATCAACATTAAATTAGACTGTGTAAAGGAGCCACATGCGGCTCCCGAACTGCAGTTTGGCCACCCCTGGTCTACTGGCTAAGGGTGGTGGACTCCAATCTGGAGAACCGGGTTTGATTCCCTGCTCCTCCACATGCAACCAGCTGGATGACTTGGGGTCAGTCACAGTTTTCTCAGAGCTGTTCTTTCAAGACCAGTTCTTGCAGAGCTCTCTCAGCCCCACCTACCTCACAGGGTGTCTGTTGTGGGGAGAGGAAGGGAAGGAGATTGTAAGGCACTCTGAGACTCCGGGTGAAGGGGGGGTATAAATCCTCCTCCTCCTCTCCTCCTCCTCCTCCTCCTTTTTCTTCCTTTTTATCCTCCTAGCAACTCTGAAAGGTAAACTAGACTGAGAGATTGTGACTGGCCCAAGGTCACCCAGCGAGCTTCCATGGGATGAATGGGGATTCAAACGTGGGTCTCCCAGATACCACACCACACTGCCTCTCTTCTGGGGAGACCCTGTTTTGATATCACTGACATGTTCAGCTGAACAGCTAAATATGACTCTCGAAGCAGCTTGGAGACCAGCAAGAGTTTTGGGGCTGTAAGCTTTCAAGAGTCAACACTCCCTTCGTCAGACCAGCACGGCTACCCTCTGAAGCGATATTCAGTTGAAGAATCTCTAAAAATGGAGCTAAATCTCAGCCTGAGAACCTGGAGAACCGCAGCCAGTCAGGGTACCAAATGCTGGTCTAGACAGAATATGACTCATGCCTATGGATTAATGTCAGGAGTGTTTTAAAATTCAGAGTATCAAGTCCAGAACTGCCTCTGCGACCCCCCAGTGTTTTCCTTTCAAGTGGCCTGCCAGAAGGTGCAAACTGCAGACACCAACCACATCTGTTTCCATGTTGGAGTTCCCTCAAGTTCTGCATTCCTTAAGAATGATTAAAAGGATAGCAAAGACTCTCAATCAAATACTCTTTAATTCAAATAAATATATGAAAACCAGTCCCACCCCCCCATCCCTACTTTCCTCATCTCTCATCCTTTGCTGGCCAACAATTCCTGGCATCTACATTTCCGGTCGTCTCCCTTCCTGTTGTCATGATTTACATCATTAGGTTTTGCTAGATCTCTCTGCTCCCCTTTCTCCCTGCTTCTTGCTCTCTCAGTCCACCACTTGCTCTGTCTTCCTTCAGCCACCTTATCTCTTGCCCCTCCCTCCACCCCACTTCCCAGCCTTCTTATGTCCTTAGCATTCCAGCCTCTGGTACCAACCTTCCTATTAACACCACCAAGGCCCTTCTGTGACTTGGCCTATGTGAATTTTTTCTCCCACCCAAGGTGACCTTTCACTTCCTGCAGAGAAACTGCACTACGCATCAACATTCTTTTTACCTCAGACAATTGGAAGGGTTCGTGATGTCACAGCAGCTCAGCCAATGGATAAGTGGTAATCAAAAGACAGTCAATAACTTTTTTTAAAAACCTATTTTTTGTCAAGAAGATGTGAATCAAAATGCTGTGAAGTGGATGAGGCTTAGAAGCAACTGTTTCAAATATAGATGCTCAGAAATACACACGTGCTCAAAAGCAGATGGCACAAAACAGCCCTCAGTGGCTTTCCTGCTAATTAATCTCATCATTTTGAGGAAACTCTAGATGAAGACTCTGACCATTAAATTCAGCCTCTGCCATTGTTCCTTCTATCCGAGTCTTTTTTTTAAATGATGCAACCATTCTCTGTACTATTTATCACTCATATCTTGGATATGACAGATTTTAGAAATCATTTAGGGGATTAAAAAAAACCACCTTTCCAGTATGTTGAGACTCCTCAGCTCGAATGATTATGTTTCTTTGCTAATGTATGTCTTTTAAAGACCTTAAAAATAATGACTGAACATGATAGGGCTGCTGGTTGACGCTTTTTTAAAGGGGTTCTTTCCATTTAGAAAGTTCTGATTAATAAGGAGCAAAGCTTTCTCGGCGATCACCCTGTTCTGGGCAATCTTGCTCCAAGAGGCCTGTTTGTGTTTCTCTAAATAATAAGTTCAGAAGGTAGCTTTATTTGTATGTAGTAGCAAAGCGAAAGAGAAGTCAAATGGCACCTTTTTAAAAGACTAATCAAGTTTGTACTAGCAGAAGCTGTTGCAAGTTGGCGCTCACTTCATCAGAGGTATGCGGTGCTATACGCAACAAATGAAGAAAGCACTGATTTACCTTATTTGATGCTGGAAGAAGCCCAGACCAGGATAGTCTAGGGTAGCCCCACCTTGTCAGGTCTCAGAAGCTAAGCAGGGTCAGCCTTGGTTAGTATTTGGATGGGAGACCACCAAGGAAGTCCAGAGTTGTGATGCAATGGCAAACCAGCTCTGAATATCTCCTGCCTTGAAAACCCCATGGGGTTGCCGTAAATCGGCTGTGGCTTGCTGGCAAAAAACCCTCCCTAAATAGGACTAAACACAGGTGCCTGCCACACGGCAGAATAAAAAACGGGCGAAGTGCGGCTAATCAGAGCCGCACCAAAATAGAGACGCCGCGGCGGGATCCCAAGGATCCCCTGAGCCGTGGCGCCATTGCTCGCCGGCACGATCAGATGCCAGGGAGGAAGCCAGGTCGGGAAGGGGAGGCTGCCGAACTGTGCATGTGTGAGCATGCGCAGTTCGGCCAGGAGCCGGGGATGCGCCGGTGGAAGGATGCGCCGGCGATCCCACGGCCGGCCTTGATGCGGCCTTGCCGGAAGAACCACCTCAGTAGGTGGTTTATTTTTGCTGCGGCATTTTGGGCGGAAGGGCCGGATCAGGGACGGGTGCGCAACGCTTCCCAGATGTTGCGGTGGGATCGCGCCCGTTTGCTGCGCCCCCGGTCCGGGGCCATAGTTAGCCTTTAAAAAGTTACCACATGATTGCTCTTTTACTTCAGGCTGTATTCAAGAAGACCCTATAAAGGAACTGATGATCCCACTCTCTTTCTTTCTTTCTTTCTTTCTTTCTTTCTTTCTTTCTTTCTTTCTTTCTTTCTTTCTTTCTTTCTTTCTTTCTTTCTTTCGTAACTGGCTTATTTAGGTAGATGATTTTTTTCAATTGGATGTTTTGAAGTGTTTCTGTTTGTTTTATTTGACATTTGTGGATATGTAAGCTCTGCAATGAGATAAGCAGCCCTGTCTCGAGCAGTTCCAGGAAGGTCAGTTCAGAATTTGAAATTAATACATTTTCTGCATGGGACAACGGAGCCCATCATCCCTGTGCCCATCCAAATGAACCAGTGGTCAGTTTGTCCTTCCCCCTTTTTCTTTGTCCAGTGCCGGTCCCTTCCCCATACCTTTAGCAGGCTGGACAAGTTCACGGAGGACGTGTCCATCAGTGAGCTGTTTGACGCGGCAACTAAATAGAAGCCACATGTTCAGAAGCAGCAAGCCTCTCAATACTGGTGCCAGGGTTTTGCGTATGGCCCTTCTGAAAGGATGTAGTCCAGCAGAAGGAGAGGCCTAGATCCAAAGAAGCCCAGTTATCTTGGCCATATGAGCTTGAACCTCGTGAGCAGAAGGAGAACCGTTCCATTTGCAGACACTTGTAATGATGTAAAAAGTTGGGGTCTGCTGCAGGCATCTTTAAAATGATTTATTTGCAGAAATGTGAACACGCAAGTCCAGCTTTTGAGCATTAGCCTGAATCTCTCTGTCTCTCCTGCCCATATCCATGCCTCTCCTCTCTCTCTTCTTGTTCAAAAGTTTCCCCTCTTAGCGTATAGTGTTCTTTTCCTTCCGGGCAACCTTATCTGAAATTCCATGGCAACGTCCTTGGCTTTCCGAAGAACAAAACTATCCAGTCATAACAGAAGTTCTGGTCAACAGCAAAGAATGGAAATAAAATAACCCAAAAGTCACAATGTGCCTCCCAAGGCTGGCGCAATCACATCCCAAAGTCAACAGGAATCCCTTGTGTTACAGTTAAAGGCCTGCAAGCCCCCATCTGGAAAGGAGGGGCTTTGGCCTCCGTGTACTCCTGGTTGGTCTTCCAGAAGCTGCGGATTGGCGAAGAAGAAGAAGAAGAAGAAGAAGAAGAAGAAGAAGAAGAAGAAGAAAAAGAAGAAGAGATTGGATTTATACCCTGCCCTTCACTACCCAAAGGAGTCTCAGAACGGCTTACAAACGCCTTTCCCTTCCCCTCCCCACAACAGACACCCTGTGTGACTTCAGCAGGTATAATGACATAGAGAGCACCCTCCAAAGCTGCCTGTTTCTCTGGGGGAACTGATCTCTGTCACCTGGAGAACAGCTGTAATTCTGGGAGGTCTCCAGCCTTCACCTGGTACAGGGTTGCTTGGTCCCCCCAGGCCACCAGGCCAC